CTTGAATCGCACCCGGAAGACCACCGGGAGCCAGTGCAGCTCGCACAGGAGAGGTGTTACGTGGGTGCGCCAAGTCGCCCCCATAATCACCCGCCCGGCCGCATTCTGGACCAGTTGGAGCCTCCGAATGCTCTTCAAGGGGAGCCCCATGTAGAGAGTGTTACAGTAGTCTGGACAGGACGTGACGAGGGCATGAGTGACCGTGCGCAGGGCATCCCGGTCCAGAAAGGGACGCAACTGGCGTATCAGGCGAACCTGATAAAAAGTTCCCCTGGCCACGGCCGTCATATGTCTTCGAAAGACAGCTGTGCATCCAGGAGAACACCCAAGTTGCGAGCCCTCTCTGAGAGGGCCAAGATCTTGCCCCCAGTAGTCAGTGATGGAACCAGCTGACTATACCGGGATGCCAGAAACCACAGCCACTAGGTCTTGGAAGGGTTGAGTCTAAGCCTGTTTCTCCCCACCCAGATCCGCATGGCCTCCAGGCACTGGGACATCACGTCAAGGGCATCATTGGGATGGTCTGGGGTGGAGATGTACAGCTGAGTGTCGTCAGTGTACTGGTGGAACTTCACCCCGAAACCACGGATGATCTCGCCTAGCGGATTCACATAAATGTTGAACAGAAGGGGTGAGAGGACTAACCCTTGCAGCACCCCACAAACAAGGCACCTCGAGGTCAACCTCTGCCCCCCTGCCAACACAAACTGCATACGGTTGGAGAGGAAGGAGGAGAACCACCGCAGCACGGTGCCCCCCACGCCCAACCCCTGGCTTGTGGGAAGCCAGCAGGGAAAGTTGCAAACTGCAATCACATGACCACGGATATGCAGTAATGGTCATATGTACAAGGTCTGGTTGTAACTATATTCAGTGCCATTATAATGGTCACTATACAAACGGTCAGTAAATGAGAACCATCTGTATAACAGGAGCTTTTACAGTAATCAACTCCCTTAAGCCTAAATGCTATGGGTTTACACACGCAGTACAACACCATACAGGAAGAGGTGAGTACAGAAGGAGTGTAGCATCTTCATCAACCTCTTCCCTTTCCAGCTGCACTCTGAAGTCTGTATTGGCATGCAGTTAGATTGACCCTTAAGTCTTAGAATTTAGAACCTGGTATGTGTATCAAAGCTTGCTACCTGCTGTCTAGTACATTATTTCCTTATTTTAGTTTTTTAAAGTATTTTTTTTTGTTAAAGTCTCAGTAAAAAAAGAGCACCTTCTGCATTTTAACGAACTTTGTCTCTGAAGTCCATCAGATCCCACAGTAGCCATCTATTCTGATTGTTTGTCATATGATTTACCCATGAAATACCCTGGTTTTCAGTAATCATTTCAGATGGGAACTGAGAAAAGGTGTATTGTTAGATCTTAACCTGACATCAGCTGGAACGAGCTATGAACAAACGAACTGAAACCATTGCAACATCACGCCTCCCATTCCCAGTCCCCTGAGTTGGGATTCAGAAAGACACCATGACCGATGATGTTAAAAGCCAATAGGAGGTCAAGGAGCCCCATTCTGAGCCTAGGTGAAATTAGAAACAAGCATAATCAAAACTATAATCAGTCTGGATCCTGACTGGAAAGAGACCAGATAATCCAGGCCTTTTTGGATGTGCAAGCAGATCACCTTCTCAATGACTTCGTTAAAAAGGGAAGTTTGGAGACTGGAGAGAAATTGTCCAGTTCCATTGAGTCAAGTGATGGTCTCTTGAGGAGATGACAGATAACTGCCTCTCCAGAGCAGACCAATGCACTTACAAGGAAACATTGAACAGATTGACACAACTACATGCCTTGTCCAGTGAGGGGGAGGGGAGGACATGTACTAAAATACAGGTAGTCAGAATCACAACTGCAGGGATTACATCCCTTTCATCAGGACTGTCCGAATCACATTGATCTGCAAGATGTCTGAATGAATGCAAACTTCCCCTGAAGCAGAAAAAATCAGAAACTGAATCTTTCTTAAAGTTTGTTAGTATTTTTTCCAGATTTATAGAGATATCAATGTTACAATATTTCTATAAAAAGTGTCAGATGTTAATTGTCAGCTTTGTAATTACAGTACATCCCAGATTATCCTACTTCTTTTGAGATTAACTTTTGATTTTAAGTAGTGAATACCACTGTTGAAACACAGCATGTCATTGCTTTATATTGCATGAGGTGGTTTATGCTCATGTTAGACAATGCTTGGCTGCCTTGTCCCACCGCCCAGTATTTCAGTATTCCAGTGTGGTCAGTGAATACCAGAACAGGGGAAAGGATTCTAAACCAGTGGTGAAATCTTCTGTGGATTGCCACCGGTTTGCTGCCTGCGCATGCGTGGTGCGCGCCAAATGCACGTTGTGCACACACATGTGCAATGCGCGCATAAAGCATGCTGCATGCACATGCACAGTGTGCACCTAAAGCATGTTGCACACACATGTGCAGTGCACACTAAATACATGCTGCGCATGCATGCGCAGTGCACACCAAATGCACACTTAATGCACATGCGCAGTGTGCGCCAAATGCACGCTGTTTAACAAGGTAAATAGAACAGCGAGGGTGGGGGAACAGCTGTGCTCTGCAATTTAGATTTGCTAGAAAGCAGGATTTCTTGCTTTCTAGTGAATATAAATCACGTGGCACAGCTGATCGTCGGAAATATTGGTTCAGATGAACCGGTAGCTTTTATCATTACCAGTTTGCCCGAACCGGTGTGAACTGGCAGCATTTCACCCCTGCTCTAAACCCAGCAAAACCAAAGACAAAGGATTTGTGTTTCAATGATAAGCAAGATGTTATCTGAGTAAATTAGTTGTTTCACGGCTAAGCAAGGGGTTATTTATTTTTGATCAATGAACCCTGACTGGTATATTGATTCTCTGCAAAGATAAGTAAAAATGCCCATTACTATTGCATCCTCAAATCTTCACAAATCAAAATAGTCTCAAAATAGTCATTTTACTGTAGAATCAGAAATCTGGATTTTCAGAAAGGCTGGTAATCTAGAAATAGTTATATTTTAAGCTGACTTTGCCATCCCAAAGCTTTGGGATGAGAGTTGCTGAATGATGATCTATACTTGAGTTCAGCAGATTTTGTTGACTTTCTATTTTGCTGGCATCTCTAAAAACTGGACAGTTACAGTACTGAATGTTTGTTTATAAAATACAAGAAAACGTTCAGGTCCTTTCATTTTAGCTACCAGATTCTCTATATTCCCATTTTTGCATATTCCTGGTGCCAGTTAAACAATAACAATAAACCTTCAACTCGGTGTGTATGTGTGTGTCTATGGCAGTGTGTGTGTACTTCTTTAGCAGCTGCATCTGTCTTTCTGCAATTTTGTATGTGCATTGTATTTTATGCAAAATGATAAAAAAGAATCCAAGAAACTAAGATATAGATGAAGGGAAAATAAATCATCCTTTCCAAAGTCTAAGAATCATGCTTGCTATCCTTCTGAAAATTTGCCAAGATGTTTACATCTTTTATCTCACCAATAAGATGTATCGCACCCATAATTTCTCTCCTTCTATTGATCTTCTTTGTGCAATGTGACTTTCTTGTCAACTGAGCAAAAACCAAGAATAACGAAAAAACAAAACAGTCTCGAACTGCTGGAAAGTGTTGATGGGTGGGGACCGTGGAATTATTGGATGCTACATGGGGCACTGAGAAGTAAACTAAAGCAGGACTTTTTTTGAGAAAAAATACATGTGAAGAATACACTATGATCTATCAACCATGTGAAACCAGAAAAACAATATGGTAAGTGGAGAGAAACCACTTCAGGATTCTACTCTAGGGATCCCTGAACTAAAGTAGTTGCAGACGGACCGGAACTGTGAGCAGCAATGCCGGAGAGAATATTTATGACAAAAATAAACTGTGATCATGTATCAACAGTTCCCAACTACAATTTATTAGACTTTCAGGCATAAGAAATTATTCTAATGGCTGATTAAAAGATGGTGGGAACGAAGAAAGTCAGCATGGGCACCATCAGAATCATGATTTATAAACAGTAGCATGTCAAGAAGGAAAGACATACCGCACAAAAATACATCTCCAGGCATTTTTGTAATATTCTGATTTTTTTTTCTTCAAATGACAATTGGAGCCTAATTACTATTTAAAGAATGGATTGGTAATACATAAGAGTCACCAGAGCATGTATTTTTCTGTGTATTGTAGGATCAGATTAAAACCCCACCTCTTCAGCTGACTTTGTCATGATATCAAGTTTGCTGCCCAAACTGTCCCAAATTAATCAACAGAGTGAAAACAATCCTTCTCATCTGTCCTGCAATCCCTTTGCATCACCTTTTGCGTGGGTCGTAACGGAATGAGAAAAATCTTCTAATACCAATACAGTATTATGTTCGTTTCTCTCAATTACCAAATACGATCACCAGTTTCTGAAGAACGGGGGATATTAATTGAAAGTTCTGAATTGGTTTAAAATTGCATACGTTTATAGATGAAAGTTCTCAGTCATCTAGATAGAGTTGCCTGGAAGTTGAGTCATGACAACTGATTACTTGAATAAGTAAACATTTCAAACCAAAGAAGAAAAGAAGTCCAGTTGTCATGAGTCAACTGCCAGACATGTATATTCATTCATTTCTCTTGCTTCTCTGTCTAACTTCTCCCCTTAATTTGGGAGAAAGGGAAGGGAGGGAGGGAGAGAGAGAGAGAGAGGGAGAGGGAGAGGGAGAGGGAGAGGGAGAGGGAGAGGGAGAGAGAATTAACTAAAAGCATTTAATCAGACATTTAACCCTGTAGAGATGTAGCCACTTTTAAACATTTTTTTTCTTGCTAATAGCATCATTTTACTAATTTTTTACAAGGTTATTTTTTTTTATGAGCTAGAGAATGAGTGAGTGAATGAGTGAGTGAGAAAGGGAGAGAACGAGAGAAAGACACACACACACACAGAACAAACACTGGTCATATAAGTGTAACATCAATACCGAAAGCTCTTAACCTACTAGAAGGAGAAGCACAGCAAGGCGAGGAAATCTGAGGCTGTCCCCAGCCTTTCATGTTATGGGCATACACTTGGACATAATACCTTCGGCCCTGTAAATGAAAAATAAAAGACAAAACTTCAAGATTATACACATGGCCAAGGTACATTTTCCAAAGTCACATCATTATGCAGTAGAAAAGATGAATGTAGTGACGAAAACACAATTTTCTCCTGAAGCTATTTATATTGGGATGTGCTTGCCAATTTGTACATAGCTTCAGCTCATGTTATTCAACAGAACAAATAGCACTTGAAGCATCTTATTGTTGTTATTTAGGACAAATTCATGTCAGACATTAGCGCCTTGATATCAACTACTTGAGCAGATCTCCACTCCACTTGGGATTATATAGCATGGTGGCAAATGAGGCAAAGGACAATGTGAGGAAAAGAAGAAAGAGAAGAAAAAAGGAGGAGGAGGAGGATCACGCAAGACTAAAACCCCGAGAAAAGGCAGAGAGAATGCTTTCTTTTTTTCATCTGTTCTTACTGGCCTCAGCCTCCTTTGCCTCTTACCAGAGCAATTAAAAAATACATGAGTTCTAAGTAGCTGTTGAGAAGACATTTAACCTTTTCCTCCTCTACTCTATTACTGAGGAAAATGAGGGAAATAGTACAGTACTGGCTTTTGGGGGAAAATAATCTGTGAGCATCTTCTAAGGCAAATACAATTTTGAAACAGAGTTTAGCCTGTATACCACAAGAGTAAAATAAAAGATTAAAATCTCACTTCTGTCTGCTCTGATTCTGTTATGTATTGGCTTCTCATCTTTTGGGACACATTAGATACAAAATGCATTTTGTATAATGTACTTTGGGCCAGAACATTCAACTATCCCTAAAAATTACCCACCTCAGTTTCAGTGTTGTTCAATTTTGCACCTTCCCTTTCACAAGTTTATTTCTCTATATATTTTCATTAGCTTACAAACTCAGCAAAAAAAGTTCATATTTTCACATTCTTGAATATATTTTTTTTCCTTATACCCACATTTGCAAGTATTAATGTACTATATACAATTTTCCCTTAAGTATACTTATTGTTGGATTGCCTTGTTCTCACCGTTCGCATATTGGGACTTATGCTACATAACACATAATTTTTAAAAAGTTTTTCAGTATGTAGGGAGTAATAATTTTGGTGAAATGCAAATTGAAAAACCTCATATTAAAAAAAAAAACCAAAGCAATTATTAGCATTTATTTTCATTGTTATTCCATTTAAAATATATACGTTTGGTAGTGATTTGTAGTATACCGTACCCTCCCCAATCACAAATCTCTTTTTTTTCTAGTCAGTCTAGAAAAAAATTGAAATTTACTCACCCTGCCCTTTATCCCTGTCAAAATTTCTTTCATCCCCAAAACAACCTCTCTCATCAACTGTTCTTTCTTTGTTTAAATACTTAACTGCTGGGCATTGGGAACATCAGTAGATCAGCTGAAGAGGGAAAATATTTTGGAAATTGAGAAATGTAGAAGTAAATCTTGAAATTTCTCCTGATTGATATTTTAAAATCTAAGCCAAAAAGACAATAACGGAATGCCATTTTTTTTTCTTATTTAGAGAGTAACATCATAAATCCCCAAGGCTCATATCCAAACCAGGGATATATAATTTTGAATAAATGCAATCTTATTTATGCAGGACTGATGTCATATTCCAGCTGCTTTAAATGAATGAATGAATGAACGAATGAATAAATGAATCAACCCATCCAAGGTCCATTTACAGACAGGGAAATTATTGGACTTACTTTTGAAAATGTACAGAATGGCTGGGGCTTTGTGCTTTCTCTTTCTTTTAACAACAACAACAAAAAAAAGTCAGCCCAGGAAGTCCTGCAAAGGAGAAGCAGCCTCTGTGAAAAACTCCAGACTGCTATGACAAGATGGGGTGTTTCTGCTGCTAAAAGAAAAATAAAGGCCTAGATCCCTAACCACCTTGTAGATTTTCAAAAGAAAAATAGACATTTCTTGGAGGGAATGATGAACACCTGCCACACTTCGTTTTAATTAAATTTTCCTCTCATTTTTTCCTAATTGGCACCAGGATATGATGAGATTCTCTGCTATCTCTGCCTGCCAGAAGGAGGTCATCAGAGATCTGGAACCAAGGGGAGAGTTTTGAAAGCTCAGCTGCCAATGCATCTCACTTTGGAGATATAAATGATTGAACCCTCAAAGATTTAACACTCATCTTGGATACTTCACCACAGTTCTCTCACAAAAGTTCATGTTATCTCTAAGGCCTAAGGAAAAAGCTCAGTGATTTGATTGGGTTACTAAATAATTTGAAGATGACTACTTGAGGAGGACAGTAATGCAGCTGCCCAACTGTTGATTTGAAGCTGGAAACTTTTCTCTCAGAATGTCTATGAAGATTCTTAGCCATTCCAGTTCACGGTTGTCTGAAAGGTGCTTTTTTCAAAAGATAACTGGACTATGTTTGTTTTTTTTTGAGGAAGAAGACGTTTCGCTTCTCATCCAAGAGGCTTCATCAGTTCTGACTGGATGGTGGTAGTGGTGGGGAATGGAAGGATCATGTTTCTTTCTGGTCATCTGGTCATTAGCACTCTCTCTCTGACAGCCATTGAGGCTCTCAGGTTCACCTGAATCTCTTAGAAATGGTCCTAATGAATTACTCTATACTCTAAATATTGGCCACAAAGCATAAACGGAAGCTGAACCTGGCACAAATTCAATGTTTGAGAACATCTTATTCAAACTTGGAGTATTAACGTCAAAATAAAATTCAGTGCAGACAGCAGCAATATAATCTAAATTCTTAGTTTTTAAGCAGTTTTAAAATCAGTAATGCTCCTGTCCTGATTCTGGCTTCCTTGGATTTACCATAGTTTAAACCCGTTATAAATTAAATGTAATGCTGATTGGAAGTATCGTAAACATTATAGGCTTGGAGATGATAAACATGTGTTTATTTAGCCATTTTGTAAACAGAGAATGTACTTGATTTATTTATTTATTTATTTTTGATAAATTCATTTCTGTTGCTGATATTGATGCTGTTCTATTTGCTTTCTTTTATTACCAACCAAATCCACATTCAGCTGCTTAGGAAGGACCAACGTGGAGGTAAATGTGTTCACTCTCACCAGATTGTCTGTCAGGAGCTCATCGGATTGCCCATCTTCCACCCACTTTTAATCTTTAGAAAAACATACTTCTCCCCTTTCAAGTTAGTGCATCCAGTGACATTTGTTTCCCCAGTGAAGCAGTGAAGAGACAATTGTTATTTTAGCCATCAGACATGGAGTCAGGATTGAATCTCTCAAAGCCTTTGATCTGCCCTAAGATTAGCCCCTGATCCATGGCATGGCCGGCTTTCAATCCAGTCTTTTCTGATCTCTCCTCTCTAACATAGCAACTCACACAAAAAGCGATGCGGCTTTCATACTCTTTGGTGATTTGGGGATGCTGGATGTCGAACAGAATGTGTTTAATGACTTGCCAGAGAAATGGCACTCAGCTGCTTCTCTCCAGCAGAGATTTCTCTTAGCATTTGAGAGGGGGGGGGGGAGAAAGGCAATCTGAATTAACAACTTTTCATTTACCATTGTGAGGCCAGTAATAGTGCATCTCAAAGACTGAAGGTTTTCCATTATGATTTCTCCGGCCAAAGGAGAAAAGTCTTCGGAACAGCTCCATTCCACTAGAAAACAAACCAAAAAGGGGAAGGTCAGATTGGCTTGGGTTGCTTCAGGAGGAAGTCTGTAAATGCTAAACCACTTCAAGGCAATTTTTGCCTTCCATTTTTCTTAAATCATTTTACTATTTTTAATTTTAAAAATTAGACAATCTTATACAATCTCTGATGGCCTGGTCACAAGCCTAGTTGCAGTCAGTGGGATTTATATTTAAGATATGTATGAGATTATACTATAAACCAAGCAAGGGTGCTATTCAGCAGGTTCTGACAGGTTCTGGGGAACTGGTAGCGGAAATTTTGAGTAGTTCGGAGAACCGGCAAATACCACCTCTGGCTGGCCCCAGAGTGGGGAGGGAATGGGGATTTTGCAGTATCCTTCCCCTGCCACGCCCACCAAGCCACACCAGGCCCACCAAGCCATGCCCATAGAACCTGTAGTAAAAGAATTTGGATTTCACACTGAAGCCAAGCAAGTAAAAACAGGAATACAAATTGCAGCTGACAGATTAAATTATTAAACCAATACTTAATAAATAAAATATAAAGGAATAGGTTATATTTGTTGAAATTCCATTCTTATAATTATAGTTACTGTTTCAGCTAGCAACAGTGGGAGGTAGGAAAACATGGAAGTAGAATCCAAAACATTTAAAGACTGGAAAATATTTGTTTGATACCTAATGTAGGGTTATCAGATTTGGGCTGCAAAAATTCAGATAACCACTAGATATCAGCAAAGAGTTAAAGTTTTCTCTGTCATCATCTAGTAACTTCCAAATTTCTACTGCCCAAATTTGGTACCACATCTAAATCCTGATACCAAATTTGGTATCACATCTGATCCTTCATGTAAAGTAAGTTCTACCTTCTCTTGTATCCTGGCCAAGAGCAGTGATACATTTCTTCTAACAGAATAACAGAGTTGGAAGGGATGTTGGAGGTCTTCTTCTCCAACCTCCTGGTCAAGCAGGAAACTCTATACCATTTCAGACAAATTATTGTCTAATCTCTTCTTTAAAATCTCCAGTGTTGGAGCACCCACAACTTCAGGAGGCAAGTCGTTCCACTGATTAATTATACTATATTATGCTTCCTATGGGTCTTTAGCTCTAAGTCCCTCTTCCAAAAATTGCCCCTCTTCAAACCTACTGTGAGAAGTAATACATCCAAGTTCAATAAATGTTAGCTTTTCTCTCTTAGCCTTGCATTCCCCAAGGCTTTAACAACATGAGTATCAGTGACTTTACTAAGAGCCACAGCACTATCTCCAGCCAGCACCATGAAAGGCTGTTAATCAAACATCTTGTAGGGCTTCTCTCTTTCCTATGCATAGCTGCCATTCATTATAATGTGCCAGTAAGTGTCATTATATTTGATGGCCTTTCACATTTTCCATTGTAAACCACAATTTTTCTGGGCTTTATAACGTTTGCTGCATTAAATCACCTAAAAGCAAAGCTGGATATACAAACTGCCAAAACAGACAAGTTCCATTACAGTGCCAGCATAAATTGGAGAAGACCATCCTAGTTGTTTAATGTCAAACAAAAGGAATGTGCCGTCTTGTCTGAAGACCTGTACTGGGGGAGGAGGGGGGGATTTGAGGCCATTCTTTGTATTTCATTGCACATGATAGAAATGTGCAGTGTAGGTAACTGATAGAAAGAAAAGAAAGCAATACGTCAAGCATAATCAAGAACCAGGATTAGCTATATTTTAGTAAATTTGGGCCAAGTGACTAGAAATCAAAGAAGAGAGAAGATAAAAGGGAAGTAAAAGAACATAAAATGTTATAATTGTTAAAATGTTTGCTATTATAATCTTAAAGAGCAACTGTGGCATGCCTTATGCATTTCAGAATCCACCTTAAGTCAAATCTCATCAAAAACAACATTGGGCCAGTATCAATGGGCTTGAATTAAAGTAATATGAATACAGTGATGCAAGAGAATATCCATTACAGGCTAAGAATATCAAAAGAAGCCTCTTTCAAGTGTGATTTTTAAAGAAATGGGCTGATGAATTTTGAAAAGGAAAGATAAAGCCAAAAATAATGCATTTAAAATAAAGAAAATCTTTTGCCTATCTGTAGCGTGCTCAATATTATTGTTCTTTTTCACAAAACTTTCTTGGGATTAGCGATGCAGATAAGATTGTCAGATATACAGTATTTCTTTTTAAGATATATTAATTATCTCTTATGAAAACGATATCCTCTTTTATGATTGATAGGTGGCCCTCTTCAAAGGGATGACCTCACTATGTTGACTTCTCTTGCTTATCAGAAGCAAAAAAGAAAATCACTATGGTTTATTTAGAGCTTGATTTTGCTCATACTAAAGCAGCAACATTCTTCTCCCAACCACCTCCAGCCGTCTTGAAAATCAGTTCTTTGTTGCTACTGAACATTTCATTAGTCAGATAAAGAACAGGGCTCCTGGACAGTGACTTTTATCACACAAACAGCGTCAGAACAGAGATAAATTCACCATTCATAAATTCATACACATTCAGTTTTGCAGCTAGTAAGATTGCTGGATGAGCAGGGACAAAAAACAGCCAGGGAAGTGATTGAAGTCTGGGAAACATGCCCCTTGTCAATCAACAGGAGTGCTGATTTATCACCAGACTATCAAGTATTTAGAAGGTAAGGGCTGTGCAGCACAAACAAATTACAGTTAACAACTTAAAAACCAACCATCAACACATCCTGATCAACATCTAAAAAGCCACATACAACAGGCACCATATAAATTCCACACATTTGTAGCACACACCATATAAATTCCTAGCACACACTCTGCTAGGAAGGAGTTCCCTGAGGATGGGCTCCAGCATGAGTCCAAAAGCTGAGAAGACAAAACCTGTGGTCCCAGTGACCGACTCAGATTGGATCCTGCAAGATTATCCTGGGACATGTATGTATATTCAACTTCATTCGTGATAAATTCATGAGGTTTTTTTCATAATAACAACCGAATGACAATTTGGTGCTAAAATAAAAAGTCAGAGGAAACCCTCTGTTTATACAGCTCTAGTCCACATGGCATTTTGTCCTGCGTATCTGACGGGATAATTCACACAAATATTGTCATAAGGAGCAAAGCAACAGTCAAAGAATGCAAAGGGATGATCAGAACTGATTATTGCACATTGCATATAAAACAATATTTATTCTTAAATATTAATTTGTGAATTTTTTTATCCTGCCATGACTTTTTAAAAATTACATTATCTCATGGGGGGAATTTAAATATTGTAAGCAGACCTCAGAAAGCATGATTAAAACGTAGCTGTCGTTATAGAAGCTCTTCAAAAACTCTCTGTGAATTAGTCCTAATTTTTAATTTTGCCCTTAAGAATAACCATCTTATATCCAAATAAAAACCAGGTTGATACCTCTGGTAGCCCAGATATAGCAAGAACGGGTAACAAAGATAGGTAGCTAGGCAAAGAATAAACACTTCTGTCAGTTCTGCTTTCTTACATTGCACTTTTAAAATATTGTTTATGATGAAATGTGTGAATTGTATTGTATGTGGGCATTTCTTGCCTAATTGTATAGCCACATTGAGTAAGTACAGATAGAGTCAAGTTATATTTGTTGGAAACTATACAGTAATTTAGTACAACATTTATTATATGAATGCACATGAATTGAAACTCAGAGCATTCCAAACTTTTGGTCTAGATTGGTGTTTCTCAACCTGGGCAAGGTTGAAGGTGGGTGGACGTCAACTCCCAGAATTCCCCAGGCAGCCAAGCTGGCTGAGGAATTCTGGGAGTCGAAGTCCAGACGTCTTCAACTTGCTGAGGTTGAGAAATACTGGTCTAGATGGCTGAATGTCTGCTTTGCTTTCTTCTTCATGGTATTCTGTTCCACCCTACCCTACCCCACCCCAATCCATCCCATCCCATCCCATCCCATGATTTCTGTGAAATTAAAATTCAGCAAGTTTCATAAAACATGTTATGATAGAAACATTATCATAAAATAGCTTATGACAATATACAAAATGTCATAAAACACATCTTGCACTCATGGTTGAATGTGCTACACAGTTCAACATGAGCTATTTTCAATGGAATTGGACAACTCGCCACGGCCATCTCATCCCAGCTATCCATAGCAAGTCGGTCATGGCAAATTGCCCTAGACCCATTTTCAAGGCAGATACATCTCTGAATGTATCCTGAATTTTTAAGAACTTTTCAAGTATATTAGAAGCTCTGCTATTATTGAAGGCACTGAGGAATTTGATGTCTGAAATGATGACCCGATGGGTCTCAGTTTGTCTATTTTTTGATTTCACATGTTGTTCATTACATGTTAAGAAGAAATTGGTTTAATTAAGGCTTCCAGCCTCCTACAAAAGAAATAAGGATAGTCTCCGATTAAAGGCCAGGGTGGTGCCATATTAAAGTCTTAGATTAGGTGCAGGGAGACTGAAGAGTTAGTCCACTCTCAATCATAGACACTTACTGAGTGACTTTGGACTAGCCACGCTCACTTAGTTCAGCCTATCTCACAGGGTTGCTACACAGGAAAATCAGTGGGAATGCTATGTATTAAAGTGTACTTTGAATTTCAGAGATTCAAGATGCACATCTCCTCAAACTCTATATACCATGTTGCAAAGCTATTAGTTTCCCAATTGGGGACTTATCTATCTGTCACTGTAAGCACTAGAGAAAAGCCGAACTTTTTCTCCACATCTGAAAACAAACACATTTGTCAGGAGCAGTGGCAGATTATCTTTTTATGCCTTTGTAGTGTTTCATATGGCACATTGTTTAGTTCTCTAGCTAAAATAGGACTCAGGTTTATTGTTCATACACAGAGCCTCTTATTAATAATCCAAAAAAGTCAGTGGCTGTCCTCATTTCCCCCCTAGTCATTAAGCTCTCAAGATCTTGTTGCTGGGATATGTGTGTTTAGATTAGCCATTTATTATGTTTTATTTCAGCGTTGAGCTTCTGTGGTAAGTCTATCTATGCCAATG